AAGAAAAACACAATTAAGAAGAAAAGACGATCAAAAAGAAAAAAAAAACAGTAAAAATCATAAAGAGACAAGGACGACACATACATTCACACACTCATAACCGTATTAAAACAAACAGTTTAAAAAACATCAACATTATATAAAATCAGATGCATGTTATTTTGGCTTGAATACACGCAAAGAAATGCTTTTAAGTGTAGAAATAGGATTTTCTCAGCTGACATTTTTCCTTTTATAATAAAGACATAGATTTTCAAAAAAAGACTTCAATTTTATCAAACTTTGGTAACCTATTTTTTATGATTGCTGTATCAGTGTTGAAATTTTGTGCTATAAGAATGTGGCTCCAATCATTGAAAAAGAAAGATCAACAATTTTACACTGATAAACATACATTTTAAAGTATACTAAAATAAGTTTGAGTTATATATATCATCTCTTGCATTATAGCCAAACATCATTTCTTTTATCATAAAACCTTGGCAAAACATAAAAAGGTTCTTCATTTATAATAAGAAATTCATTTATAATTTTTTGACTATGGGACACAGCCAAAATAGGTGCTCAATGCTTTCAACATCATTATTACAAAAAGAACATAAAGGACTTTTTTATACTTAATTTTGTATAAAAGATGATTAAGGAAGACATTTCCTTGCCACATAAAATGATAAAACATTTTATTTAATACACTGATAACATCTTTAGATGGGTTTGGTATTGAAACGAATAAATGATCAAAAGAGAGTTTACAACAGCAATTTTACCGATTGGTGTGAGAATTCTACTTTCCAATTTTGAATAACCATTCGATTATTTTCTATTCTTGCGCTAAAATTTACATTTATGAGTTTAAGTCAACATGAACATTCATGCCTTACATTTAAAATTGATATTGATTCCAAGGCAACTTCCATATTGTTTTTGTACTGTTCTGAGAATATTTCATTTTCCCTATCCACACAACAATCAAAATTAACATTAAGTCACGATAGTTGTGCAATATCTGACAAGATTTCCGAAGATTTATTTAGAGACGCAATTGATCAAATTAAAGTCACCGTTCTGTCATCTGCAAATTTTGAAAATTTATGTCCAACATTGTTAATATTTATTGTCATTTCTTATTTTTAAGGACATGATATAAAAATATATCATTAAAGAGGATCTCCTTGTCGGCAGCCTCCACCTACTTTAACAAAATTTGAGGCTCGACTTCCTAATACCTTTAAATATAATTATTTTTAATACCTTTAAATATTTTTTTCAGAACCGCTCAAAGTCCTTTATCTTTGCAAGTATATTTGAACCATACCAACAAGCACGTGACTTGTCGACTAACATGATGAGTTATCTAATACAATTTCTTGAGTTATTGTAGAACACCAGAGTGTTCATCATTCTTTTACAAAAAAAAAAAAAAAAACCGGCACATGTTCGACAGGCCAATGTCACTTAAAAATAATTTCATGAAAGGTAAATGTTCCTCTTTCGTCATTAAAATCTTGCCCATTATCTACGACGTGCATTCTTTTCTTAGAGATACGCAAACCACAATACGACCTGTACAATACAATGCAAAGTTCTCGAGTGGTGTATATATCTATCTGTCAAGTATATACACACTTCATGTTCAGTGAGCACGAAATAATCATGCTAAACTGTGATACAACTTATTTAACCATACATCTATAATAAATGTATTTATCCTTGTTTCTACACGTTGTTATTTGCACGAAATTTACGTGCTGTGTTGATATATAAGCTAGCGGTTCGCTAAAGTTAATCATTCGAGGTCTTCACATTGCATTGAATAGTCAATCACGTTTACAAGTTTGATATCAATGGCTGATAACGAAGAACTGCAAGACGAGCGACCACGTGGTTATATTTGCAGAGATAATTCGGATAATTCTAGAGACGATGTTGTTTCACAGTCTTTTGATTTGATGAGAAATTACTTTGACCAGCAATTTAATTCGCTAAAGAGAGATTTAAGAGACGAAGTGCATACTTCTTCAATCGAAACTTTTAAACGTTTTCGAGGAGATTGCAGTTCTTACACGTTCAAGTATAAAGGGAATCAGCGTCAACATACATTCAATTCTGACTTGATTCAAGATTTAGAATTAACTTCAGACTTGCTCAAGAAAGGTGAAAGGCGTCAGTCTGTTTTGGACAGCCTCTGTGACATTCGTAAAAAACTGAGTCGGCGCAACAAGCTCATAAAAATTGCAGACAAGTCACCCGCTGGTTGGGATACAGTGAACGAGTATTTATCAGACGAACTTGCCAGCGATAGCGAGGATGACAAGAAGCTCCGTCGAGCGGAAAAACGGGCTCTTGAGAAGAAGAAACCACGCCCGACCAAAAAGCCTAACTCGAGCGCTTCGTTCACTTCTGGTCTTGTTTCTTCTTGTATGGACAGTCAACTCGGTGCAGCAGTACTTCCGGGTAATTCGACTACACCAAGTTCTTTTCGTCAGTTTCGACGAAATTCTTCCTTCATCCAATGTTTCGCATGCGGCGGGATTGGACACACCCGACCAGATTGCCCAAGCAAAATGCAGGCCCCAAGTACAAACCCTACTACACGTGGATTCAGCGGACTCTCGTGGCAAAAAGGTGGAGACTTTCCCTCTCAAGTCGTCAAGCATCAAGGCAGGGAGTCAACAGAAGATAAATGATGAGTATTTTTTCACTGATTTTGAACATGCTGTTTGTAAAACTTTACTTTTTCATAGCAAGTTTTTTGAATACACATTATCAAACTTGTCCGATAATGTAATTGCTCAGCCTTCCGTCAAAGGCAGACTTTGTAAAAATGTACAATTTTGGAAGAATACTTTAAAGGCCCATGATTTCGTTCTTGATATTATAGAATTTGGGTATAAGATTCCATTTTTAGAAACACCTTTGAGTTACGTTTTACGTAATAACAAATCTGTTATTTCAAATTCCGATTTTGTAACGGATGCTGTTTTAGATTTGCTTAATGCGGGATGCATTTTAGAAGTGCCTTTTAAACCCTATGTTGTTAATCCCCTTTCTGTTGCTATAAATAGCACTGGCAAGAAAAGGTTGATTCTTGATCTAAGTCATTTAAATAAGTTTATTTGGAAGGAACATTTTAAGTTTGAAGACTGGAAAGTAGCTTTTGAAATGCTTTTTAAAGATGGTTATATGTTTAAATTTGACATAAAATCCGCTTATCATCATATAGATATTTCACCTTTACATCAAAGTTTTCTGGGATTTTCTTGGAATATTAAAGGCAAGAAAAAGTATTTTGTTTTTACTGTATTGCCGTTTGGTCTTACTTCTGCTCCATTCGTTTTTTCGAAATGTTTAAGAGCTGTAGTTAAATACGTCAGGGAAAATGGAGTTCGTTTAGTGCTTTTTCTAGATGATGGATGGGGGGTTAATAAAAAGTATGAGTTAACTCTTCAGGATGCTCATTTTGTTAAATCTGTTATTTTACAAGCAGGTTTTATTTTGAATTTAGAAAAATCAATTTTTATCCCTGTTCAAACTTTGGAATGGCTTGGTTTAGTTTGGAATTTATCTAATAATTCTTTAGGTATTTCTGAAAGAAGACTGAATAGCACGAGAGAAGCTATTTCCTATTGTTTATCACATTTGACGTCTCTGACCGCTAGGGAAATCGCACGTGTAACTGGGAAAATTGTGTCGATGATTCCGGTTTTAGGCAATGTATGTAAACTCATGACTAAAAATTTACAAATGGCTATAGAAGCTAGACAAAGTTGGGATTCGAACTTAAATTTAAGTCATGATAGCGGATGTTTATATGAATTTGAATTTTGGATGAGAAATTTAGGTTATAATCCAGTACGGCCTGTATTTAGTAACTTGTCTCACACAATAACTATTTTTTCGGATGCTAGCTCTTATGCCGCCGGGGCTATAATTAAAGGTTTCCCCGACGAAATCTGTCATATAAATTGGTCGGAATCCGAAAAGTCTGAAAGTTCTACTTGGCGGGAATTAACTGCTATCAATTTTGCCGTACGATCTTTTTTCAGCCGTTTGAAAGGTCACTGTGTTCGTTGGTGCACGGACAATCAAAATTGTGTCGTTATAATTGATAGTGGTAGTATGAAACCTAAATTACATGCTATTGCGTTGGAAATTTTCAAATTATGCCTTGAAGGTAACATCTCCCTTTGTTTGCAGTGGGTTCCTAGGAAAGAAAATTCTGTTGCCGACGCAATCAGTAAAGTTTTTGATTGGGATGATTGGGGAGTTTCCGAGGACTTTTTTAATTTTTTAGATAGTCTGTGGGGTCCCCATACAGTTGACCGGTTTGCTAATCATTATAATAAAAGATCTCCTAGATTTAATTCTAAGTTTTGGGTACCAGGGACTGAAAATGTTGATGCCTTTTCAGTATCTTGGGCTGAAGAAAATAATTGGTTAGTTCCGCCGGTAAATTTGGTACCGAGAGTTATAAATTACCTGGTTTCTTGCGGGGCTGTTGGAACTTTGATAGTTCCGAATTGGCCCTCTGCAGCCTTTTGGCCGTTACTTTTCGGCAATACTAGTATTAAGCAATCTATGATTTTAGAAGTGCTCGAATTTAAAGCTGGTCAAGATATTTTTATTCAATATAAAAACAAAAATACAATCTTTGGTTCAAAAAAGTTCACAAGCAAGGTTTTAGCCGTGAGATTAGATTGTTGCTAAATTATTTGTATTTTAAATGTCTGATATTCAAGTTTGACATTTATGAATGTTGTTGAAGTTTCTTTTCATTCCATGCATTTGTTAATTTTCCGGAAGTGATTTATGAGGGCCTTTTTGTTTAGGTCTTGTGTATTAGTTATTTGTCATTTTGTATTTGCACATAGATTTTAATTTAAGTCCAGGGCCACTTGGCCAGGACTTGTGTACGTTAGTTTGCATTGTTTTTTCTTTAAGATATGTTCAGTCCAGGGCCACTTGGCCAGGGCTAGTGTACGAAAAATGTTCCATTTAGTCAAGGGTCACTGGACCATGGCATTGTTTTTATTTAAGATAGAGTCCAGGGCCACTTGGCCAGGGCTAGCGTGTGTAAATTTTCATTCAGTCAAGGGTCACTTGACCTGTTCTTATAAGATATGTATAGTCCAGGGCCACTTGGCCAGGACAAATGAGTTATTGTAGCCTTTTGACACGATTTGTATTTTATGTTTAAGTAGAACTTAGACGTATCTAATGTGATTAATTTAGGGTAATTTGGCCCAGGCAAAAATTTAAAGATATTTTGTAAATAAGTGGTCTGGCAGGCCTGTTAATGTTTTATGTTTTTATGCTTTTCTTACTTAATTCTTATTTGATCAGTTTTTTAACGATTGAATTTATTATACATTTTTCAGATTTAATAATGAACCGATTGAGTAATAAAGTGTACGGTGATCCAGAGTTATCCTCCCTGGCTGCTTCACTTCCGGAAGTCGCTCTTTCATCAAAAGCCTGTAATACGAGTAAAAAATACCAGAGATCCTACAACAGTTGGAGTAAATGGGCCAGACAGCATGGTTTGGTCGTTTTCCCTGCCAATGATGTGGATTTTTCTTTATATTTAGTGTCTTTAATACAAAGTTGTAATTCTCCATCTACTGTGGATGAAGCATTTTATGGTATGAAATGGGCTAATGATTTAGCAGGAAATTTAAATAATCCGTGTTCATCCTTTTTAGTGAAATCAGTCAGGGAGGCTGCTCATAGAATTCTGGGACATCGTGTTTCTAGGAAAGAACCTGTTTACGCTTACGCTGGTTTTCTAAGATTTTCTGAACTGATAAATATTAAGCGTTCTGATATTCTTTTTAAGACTGATCATATTGCATTGTTTATTGATCACAGTAAAACAGACATTTATCGAGATGGAAGTTGGTGTTTAATAGCAAAGACTGGAAATGTAACTTGTCCTGTTAACATGTTATTGCGTTATTTAACTATGGCAAACATTGATGAAAACTCAAATGATTTTATATTTCGTTCTGTTACTTTTTTCAAGAGTTCTAATTGTTATAAATTAAGAGGTACTTCTCCATTGTCTTACACTAGAGCTCGTGAACTTATTTTAGATATGTTTGAGCATATCGGTTTGGACAAATCAAAATTTGGATTGCATAGTCTGAGATCAGGTGGCGCTTCAGCTGCTGCCAATGCTGGAGTGTCAGATAGGTTATTTAAACGTCATGGACGTTGGAAAAGTGAAAAGGCTAAGGACTCTTATGTTAAGGATGACATTGATAAACGACTTTTAGTTAGTAAATGTTTAGGATTGTAATTTCGTTTTTCAATTGTTTGAGTAATATTAGTTTTTATTGTTAATTTTTGCCCCATTTGCCCGTTCTTTGTTAATTCGATCATAAATGCAATGTGAATGACTGATTCTACATATGTGTTTGTGTTATATTTTTCTTAGTTTCTGTAGAATAAGGGATAAATGATTTATTTCCGTTTGAGCGAAAGCGAATTAGGAAATAAATGTATTTATCCTTGTTTCTACACGTTGTTATTTGCACGAAATTTACGTGCTGTGTTGATATATAAGCTAGCGGTTCGCTAAAGTTAATCATTCGAGGTCTTCACATTGCATTGAATAGTCAATCACGTTTACTAGTTTGATCCCCCCCTCCCCCACCCGATCATATTCATTTCAGTTTTATAAGAAACATTTTTAGGTTAGTTAGATTGATAATTAAATTGTACAGTGTTTCTTATTATTTGGGTAATTTTTCTCTTATCAATTTGAATTAATTAATTAATTAAATTATAAGATCTATTTTGAGAATTTTCAGATTCATTATTATGGTTATGTATGTACTGGATACGATTATGTGTTATATTTCGATATATTATATTGATGTTTAAATATTAAATGTTAAATAGAATAAATGCATTGTGAATGACTGATTCTACATATGTGTTTGTGTTATATTTTCTTAGTTTCTGTAGAATAAGGGATAAATGATTTATTTCCGTTTGAGCGAAAGCGAATTAGGAAATAAATACATTTAGAATATGACTGTTTTACAGTTTAATTACCACTGGCATTGACAAATGAGCCTAACTTTGTATTGATCAAAATGATATTGACTCTTATTTTCCTAATTGAAGAGATTATCTATTGAAAATGATGTTAACCTGTCAGGCAATTTTTCAGAAATAAAAGCAACCCTTCCCTTCTAAACAAGGATCTATTTTTCCATGCAAAGAACAATTACATATCATCAGCATATAGAATGAGTTAAATGTATTTTAAACCACAGCCAGCATATCATTCATATCTATTGAAATAACAATTGTAACAAAATAGATTCTTAGTGAACACCTTAAGTTTCCCATCCTTAAAAGAAAAAAGTAATTTAAGACCGCAAATATTTGCCTGTCAGAAATATATGACCTATCTAATGGTTCACTGTAGATAAGACATTTAAAGATCCATTAAAATCATGTCACACGAAAATCTTCATCCTTATGTTATTCAATAAAATGTGAAGTTATAAGTGTGCAAAAGTCACGAATTGACACTTATATAATATGTCCTTTCCTTTAATTTTAAAAGTAGAAATAAATGTGGTAAAACAATGTTCTGAAAAAAACTAGAAATAATTCAACATATACGATATATCGTAGATAGATGATTCCTTAACTGCCAATTACAGCTTAATCATTCATTTTGAAAAGAGGAACATCTCTCGCTGCAAAGCTCACGCTGTCGGTCGCCATAGTCGCCATTTGCAATTATTTTATAAGATTGGCGATTAACTAAACTGTTTAATAGCGAGCCGATTTACCAAAGTCAATGTGTTACGATTCATGTGTAATACAGCAATCCTTTTGGACAAAAAGTAATTTCAAACTCTAAATGAAGAAAAAAAAATACAAAAAAAAACAACTGCTGAATATGACGTAAGAGAAAAGAATGCGTTTGTTTTGAGTAAATACTTACACGCATCTACTGTAAGACATACATGTATTAAGAATTATACTTTTATATCCAATAACATCAAAAAGTGATATAATTAGTATATTTTAACCATTAGCTTATTTAAAACACTTAGCAAGAGTTGTTAAATAAGCTTTTGTTTTATTTGACAGTCATGGAAGGCGTGCAGTTTTGTCCAAAGCACAAATACTAGTAACTGTTTCAAATATTTCTGTGTTAATTTTATCCTAACAATTATTCACACAATATTGCAGTGTTCATAACACGAGAATAGCTATTGCCTTCCATAGACGAGGATACCACTTTTTTAGTACAAGAAAATGTACCCGGCCAAGTTTCTGTCAAAGGTAACTTAAATATATCTGAATATTTCAAATATGTTTTTATATAAAAGGTTTGGATTCTAACAATTTATTGAACTTGTTTAATGAAAGTTTCTTTGTTGTATTACATAGCCACGAGTGTGAGATTATGTTTGATCACATGGCTTAAATTATTATTTTTTTAACCACATTACTAAACGCATTGTTTTACAACATGACTAAGCGCATTGTTTTATAACATGACTAAGCGCATTGTTTTATAACATGACTTAGCGCATTGTTTTATCAAGTGACTAAACGCACTGTTTTATCACATTACAAAACGCACTGTTTTATCACATTACTAAACGCATGGATTTATCGCATTATTAAACGCATTGTTTCATCAAATGACTAAGCGCATTTGTTTTTAAATTTATCACATAACTAAACGCATTGTTTTAACAAATGACTAAACGCATTGTTTTATCACAGAATTAAACGCACTGTTTTATCATATGACTAAATGCATCGTTTCATCACACAACTAAGCGCATTGTTTCATCAAATGACTAAGCGCATTTTTAAAAAAAATCACATAACTAAACGCATTGTTTTAGCAAATGAATAAACGCATTGTTTTATCACATGACTAAACACATTGAATTTTTTGAAAATGAACTTGTTTTGACAATTTACGCACAAAATTACACGTGTGCAGGTTTAAAAAATAGTTATATTACTTCAGGTATTTATTTATTTTCTTACATTCTTAGATACTTTTTGCCCTGCCAACTGGACATTTTATAGCCGGAAGTGGTACATGTACAGCTCCACGCCTGTGCATAGTTCAGACGCAAAGGTAAGTTTGCCACGAGTATAAAGCCAGACAAGTTTTGTACGTAAGCGCGGCCTTTATACATGTAAGCTCTTTACTGTTTGGTAACATTTTTGTATTTTTATATTGAAATCCCTTTAACATTGAATAGAATTTTCCAGATTCAAAACAGGACAAATCAATACCACACATTCAACAGGTTTAGGGTTAATAGAAGCCATGTCATGGTACATTAACAATATCTGTTATACGTTGCTGTTCGGATCAGGGTACCCGGTCCGAGGGTACATGTCCATTATGGCGGTATCTTGGCTTTCCTATGTGAGATGAAATTTCCGACATAGGTTTTTAGACCAGTCCGATATGCAAGGAATTGCATATCTTCTATTTGTCAAAGGGCTTCTACCCACGTGACATTGATCTCGTATCTCTGGGAGTAAGAAAAAGGTAGACGACTCATAATTATGTGTTATCTTTATTTTCAATTCATTTCTCTTTATTTACAGGAATATTGCGCGGATTTGGACGCAGTCTCCCTTGTTAATGATAGCAAGGAGACGAAAAATGTTCAAGAATTCATAAATACCCAAATAAACAGATATATAGGTAGGTTAAAATCTTCTACGAAAGTGAAAATGAATGAACATTAAAGTATTTTTTTTTAAATAAAAAACTTGTTTAAATGAAAAACAATCATTGGTTGATTAGAATAAAATATCTTGTGAAAATGAATTACAATTATTGGTAGTCTAGACTAAATAGCATGTCTGAATGGAAAACAATTGTTAGTAGTTTGAAATAAAAAGCTTTGGTAGTTTAAACTAAAGAGATTGTGGAAATGAAATTACTTAATGTGTTAACTTTTCTGCGATGAGGATCGTGGTTTCGAGTCCTTTAAGCGTGGTCCAAGCTAAAATCTTTCTCCACAATTGACCTTGAATTAATGTTGTTTGCTGCATAATGGAAAAAAAAGAAAGTATATTTTAGTGAATATCGAATATATGAGAGAAATTGTGAACATTTTCAACAGCGAAAAGTTGAGCAATAGTTTTTCATGTACCAGAAAATGCAAGATAAAATTATTTTAAAAGTCTGAAATCCATAATTTGGTAGATATTAATTTTGACAGGATGTTGTATTGCCGAACATGAAATGCTTGCTCGCGACTTAGGTTTTCTTGGGGACCCTTTCGAGGATGGGCAAGATGAACATACTGACCATACGCCACAATGTAAGTTTTACAATAATTAACTTTTTTCTGATGTATTGTATATCCTTTAATTTATACAAGCTTCTTTACACAGCTGATCATGTTTTCAAATTCCAGTTCATTTAATGTCGCCTTTCGTTATCTCGTTTATGGTACATGAATTCAAATTCTTGGTGACCATACACCGCTTTTGCTGGAAGGTACGAATTTTTCACATTGAAGGTTCAATGATAACTGCCGCATGAACACATCTGCAGATGATTCTAATTTCAATATTTTACCTTTTTTATGTCAAGCCAGTACCAGGGACAGGGACGGTAACTTGCATCTTTTATTTCTGGCCATGAATAAGCTCAATCAAACCAAACCTGCAACAGTTTCAATTTTGTCGGCCTTAAGAGATCCCATTTCTCTTGCAGACGACAAATCAAGAACAGATGGTGTTACACAGCCTGCGTTAAAATCCGGTAGGGCTTTTTCATTAATCCAGATATAAAAGAACATGAAATGCATTCACTGCCACAAACAACTAAAAGTACTGACACAAAGATGGCGTCGATCAGTAACATTTTGCCTTCTCCGACTTCCAGTTACGGATTTTGGTTAGGCGCGGGGCACCAGCATAACCATGGCACTGTAACGGAAGCCGTAGACGAAAATTCCACCCCTAATCACCATCAACCAACAGTTCATAGCAATGCAGAATTAGAAGACGGTGGACTAGAGCAAGAGAGCGACAAAACATAGACAACCAAATCACAAGATAATCAAGGCGCCAGTGCAGCAATGAAGGCAATACAGAATGAGGCTTTATTTTTATACTGTAGGAGTCTCGGGTACATTTTTCATGCATGGCATGATGATGGTTGTAACAGAAGTTTTATACAAATCTGTGAGAGAAATCCTTTACCGGAAATTGGATTGAACACCGACATTTTGCCCATCCATAGGGTAAATATTGAGTGCATAGGTGAAAGTAAAAAACAACTTTCATATTTTGCTATACTTTTGTATTCTATTTGGCAAAAATTATAAACAACCCACCTGACTCGCGAAATATTACATAAGTATCCAGTAACGTTCAATTTGTAAAAAAAAACGGGACACTCTTTTTACATTTTAGGCAATTTTGATTCTTTTTATCCTAACCATTATCTTATCAAGATTTGTGATCAATGACTATTATAATAGCCAATCATTCTAAATTTATAACAATTGAGCTAATCTTGACAACGACAAAATGAGCATAATGTAGCAGTAGTGTATATAACAAAACCAATATTACTTTGCCTATCCACTTCTTATGTTCTTATTTTCCTATCTTTTCAATCTATACTTTTTGATATTACCAAATAAAGGCAAATATGATATGTTTCATCTGATAAAATAAAAGTAGAAGAAAAAAGAAGGGTTTGTAATGTTTGATTAAATGGTAGGATTACTTTATTGAAACAACAACAACAAACCCCATGTAATTGATTCAATAGAAATGTCAGGGATTTGATTTCATAAACACTGTTGGTATATGCAACTTAACCTTTCAACACTTTTATTATTAAAACTCGTCATCTGTTCTGATACTAAGCAGATTTGGTCGCTGTCAACAATACCTAGCAGATGTGGTCGCTCTCGTCAATACCAAGCAAATGTGGTCTCTCTTAGAAATACCAAGTAGATATGGTCGCTCTCAGCAATACCAAGCAGATGTGCTCGCACTAAGTAATACCAAGCAGATTTAGTCGCTGTCAGCAATTTCAAGCAGATTTGCTGGCTTTCAGAAATACAAGCAGATTTGGTCGCTCTTAGCAATACCAAGCAGATGTGGTCGCACTAAGTAATACCAAGCAGATTTGGTCGCTCTCAGCATTACCAAGCAGATTTGGTTGCTCTTAGCAATACCAAGCAGATTTGGTTGCTCTCAATAATACCAAGCAGATTTGGTTGCTGTCAGCGAAACCGAGCAGATTTGGTCGCTTTCAGACATACCAAGCAGATGTGGTTGCTCTCAGAATACCAAGCAGATATGGTCGATCTCAGCAATACTTAGCAGATTTAATCGCTATCAGCAATACCAAGCAGATTTGGTAGCTCTCAGAAATACCAAGCAGATTTGGTTGCTCTCGGCAATACCACGCAGATGTGGTCGCACTTAGTAATACCAAGCAGATTTAGTTGCTCTCAGCAATACCAAGCTGATTTGGTCGCTTTCAGAAATACGAAGCAGATGTGGTTGCTCTCAGAAATACCAAGCAGATCTGGTCGCTCTCAGGGAAACCAAGCAGATTTGGTCGCACCCGGCAGATAAGGGGTACATGTATAACGCTGGTCTGAAACATATCTGTTTATTCTTATTTTCTGTAAGCTTTGAAGTTATAAGCTTGAGCAATGTGAGACCAACTTTTCAATACGAAAGGAAATCATAAAAAGAGATCAATTACAAATAAAAAAATGAGAAAAAAATCAACAATCAAATTATTTATTCCTTTTGCAGTAACCCTTAGCATAATTGCTGCTTAAATTATGCTCTGAATAAATGCGAATTTAAAGAAGAAGAATGACAAAATAAAAGGACAGAGCTACAGATTTACCATATACTTAAGACTAGTCTTATATATGAAGAAACAAGTTAAATGTTGATGCTACACATCAAAGACGCCGCCAAATTAAGTGAACAGTCAATCAGCATTGAAAATCGTTCTCTATTACAGTTGAATATCCGAAGCACAAATTAATTTTTCTCCATGTTCTTGGTATGTGCTCGTTGTTTATTAATAAGGTTGCATATTTTTGTGAAAAAGTAGAACCTAATGCATAAATTCACAAAGTAATGCCATGTCTGAAATTCTAAAATGTTTTCCTGAAAGATTGAAACGTCTGGTCGAAACAAAATAAATTGGATAACAAGTAAAATTGAAATGATTGGTATACTTAAAATGAATTCAAGACAATATGTGCCGAGAATATATCCATAAAAATATTGGTTCGAATTGCATAATGTTCGAATGATTTTGAGGATGAACTCTGCAGTGATCTCCCTTTACTGGTTTTACGGTTGCGGAAGAACCGCCTCTCTGGATAATGGGCGTGGTTTAGGCTTTGTGACTTGTAATTTAGTGATTCGACAAGTGATATTGATCAAAGTTTTCCTGCCCCGTCAACGAAGACTAAATGCTAGCATACGGAGCATCATTTTAAATTTTGCGACAATTTAAGGCGGAGCCGAACTTCAGCAGAGGCGGAGCAAACGAAGTACGTGACACTGCCTCAATCGTAACCTCTTTCAACGGTTAAGTGTCAGAACGATCGACTATAGACTGGCTCATTGGCACGTTATTTGTTATGTAGATAATATTAGATAATGATAAAAAGAATATGATATTCAAACATGGCATTATCATTTCAGTTAGACGTTTATTCAAATGCCTTAAAGCTCCGTGACATGTTGTACATCAGAAAAGCTATTTTTATTAGATAATTTGAGAACAGTGGGATTTTGTTTAAACAAAAAAAATACACAAAATCAAGTCTAAAATTGTCCCCCATTGCTGTATGGACAAATGCCGCTTGCAAGCGGCGTGTAACAAAAGCATAATAATAATTGCATCTTGAAATAATGACACCAAAGAGAGAACGACTTCATATAGACTATATCTTCATATATAACACTGGTAGTACAACCACAAGTGCATTTAACAAACCCTCCGCGAAAACGCGAAATATTGCCTCTGTGAAAGTTTCTAGGAATACAGTACTTTTGAATGTTCATGTAAAACAGCAAGTGTATCTTCACTATTACATGGATACACATCTTTATCATATACAAGTAAGTATAGAAAACAAAAGTGACCAAAATATTAGTTTATTGGTGAACCAGATATCCAGAGAAAGAGTTCATATGAAAGTTATCTTCAAATACAGCATTGAGACAACGATGAGTGCATTTAACAAATACTTTTGAATGTTCATGTAAAACAGCAACCGTGTCTGTACTATCACATGGGTACGCATCTTTATCATAAACATATAAGGTAGCATATGTTGTCCCATCTATCATGATAGCCGTGAGGAAATAGTTGTTCATGAGTGAACACAATTGTAAACTAAATGAGTACGTTCCGTTTACAGGCGCAGTGAAGATTCCAGTAGATGTATTATAAGCATTCCCTTCATTAACAAATGTAGAGCCAAATATTATAGTGCCTCCATCGCCAGGATTTTTGTTTGTTACATCCTGAGCTTTAAATACTATGTTTGGACCTATGAAACAAAATTTAAAATATAAAAATATTATCTATTGAAGAGTATGAATAACTTTGATAATTTTAATTATTGTTGCACTATATAGCCCTAGAAACACGTGAATCCTTTGAAAGTGATAAATAATGAGAAGAGCGGCAAAATAATTTTAATAAGAACAATTAATGTGCTTTAAATTGTCTAGTACGTTCGTTTCCACTGACATTTTAGTCTTTTCAAAAATGCAACTCACAATCTAAAATCACCGACTCATTATTTATACCGAATTACTCCACCAATTATGATTAAAAACATTTTGTTACGATGATACAAAGGTTTGCAATTAAATATTAAGCAGTATGATTTGTTAATGAAGGCTTTCTACGTGTTATCAAAATCTGCAACTTTTTTATTTTGTTCAGACAGCATTATCCATGTTTCATTATTTGTTTTTCATAATTATAAAGATATTGGGCACGTAAAACATTTAACACGCTACTGTGATAACATTTAATTGTCAGTGAAATTACTTAGTCGTCATTGCAGTCAGCTATTTAAACATGACAACCTGATTCACGTGTATTTAACAACAGCGTTTGCGTTTTCCCCTTTTAATGCATATGTTCTTCTTCGTTAATGCATACACGCGCGAACAGTCTTTAACCAAGATATAATGTTTGGCAGAGGTTTATTAGAGGCTCGCAGGGGTATTTCGAAAGCTATTTTCCATTATTGTGCTACTATTATAAATGTTTTATATAATGCATTTAATGTAATGTGTCTAGTAAGAAAACAAAATAAATTAACATAAAGTTAACTATCTTAATCACCTTAGTACGAGCTAGTATAGACTTGGAATAAGAATATTTACAAATAGATATACACAAACATACTGCAACCGACATTCGTACAAGAAACATCTTCTACAGAATCCCCATCACAATATTTTCCCAGAGGCGATGGTGACGGGTTTGTGCAGGTACGTGATCTAGACTTTAATCCGTCCCCACACGTCATTGAACAGGTGCTCCATTGTCCCCAGTCAGTCCAACCACCATCTTGAATAACAGACATAATTTAAAGAGAAAATCTTATTGATTAATATACCTTTCTCTTTAAACAATATACTGACAGTGTTTGAAATAAATAGTATACCTTTAGTTATTTACAGATATTTGGTTGTTGAATGTCACTATAAAAGCATTCAATGACCTTCCTCGTCTAATGGCATGAGGGCACTAACCTCATGATATGAATAGTTGGACGCAGCATAAAATATACAGAAAATGTTATATCTACTTTGTTTAATCAGCAAATACAATAACCCGCCCGTAAAATGAAATGTACAGTTAATGTTTAACGAGTGTTTGATTTCCTTTGGATAATATTCGTGCTGATATTTCATCTCGTATATCCAGTAACGCAGGAATGTTAAAATAACACAGGAATTGTCCGGAAGTACCACATAATGGTGCAGTTTCATTTAAAACGTATATAACAGTAAGTAAATAAACCAATATATTTGTAGGAAATCAAAATAAAAAAATGAAATGGGCATACGGTTACTGAGACATTACATTTTGAACCTCATTAAAATATCCACAGGAAAGTTTTTAGTCTCCAAACTTATCCGTGAGAATGACGACCTGGCAAGCGTTTGACGGCAACTTTTGTGTTTCGTCGACGTGTTATACGAAATGTATACAAATACGTATATTTATATTTTTGTTTTTTGTTATACAGTATTTTTAGACAATTGCCAAAACTAATAAAATATGATTAAAACAATTAAACAAGATAATGCCGATTTCGTGAATGATGCACAGAAGCAACGCCATTTATCACATAAAATAGTACCCGAATCATATTTCTGTTTCCTTTAAGTATTACACGTTACTTGTAGTTTGGAAAGTGTATACTGTATAACGAATATCAAATTAATTAAATTGTTAATGCGTTATTGTTCTTAATGTCACCGTCAAAACAATGTTGAATACATCATTCTTACGAATAATCTTATAAAGTTAACATTTATTTGAATTTACTTAATGCTTGTTTTAGTATGTCATTGCCAACTGTTTGTGCTTCTTCGTTTATTTAATTTACTATAAATTTCGATACCCTTTTACTCTTTAGCTCATAGATTTGCACATATTCGGCTTTACATTTGCAAAATTCCTGCGTTATTATCATATTCCGGCATTTCTAGATAAAACTACTTGCACATGGACCCGTTAAGCATATTCTATCATCTAATGTGTAGATAAACCTACTTGCGCATGGATCCGGTAAGCATATTCTATCACCTAATGTGAAGATAAACCTACTTGCACATTGACCCGGTAAGCATATTCTATAATATAAGGTGTATATCAACCTACTTGCACATGGACCCGGTAAGCATATTCTATCATCTAGTGTGTCGCCGAAACATTGAAGTCCGTTTCTGTCTGGTACCGGGTTCGAGCAATTACGATGCCGTCTTTCTATACCTACACCACATGTTACAGAACATGTGTCCCAGTTCGACCATTTAGCCCATCCATCATGTTCTTTGAAAAAATATAATCTATTTACAATGAACGAGTCTTCAAAACGATATATATCTATAGGAGTTTGTTAAATACAACTTTGTCCAAGTCACGGTCGAATTTTATTCCGATGATGTCTAAGTTAACTTATGAAAAGTTTAAATCAATACCTGGTGACAATAAGTCTACTGGTTAAGTATTTAATGATTCTTTACTTAAAGCTGACATCATGCTTGAATGATTTCAATGATTAAATTGCATAATTGATTGGTTTATAACTTTCCCAAGGTCTAATGAAATTAATAGTCACAGATAGTGGCAAATAGATGTATTACAAAGTGCACCATAGTTAACTTTGTTTTTCCATTTTCTTTGGGAAAGCCCTATAATTAAGAAATAATTATGATTTGGTTTATACAGAATTTATTTTAGTTCGATTGTGTAGGAAGCTATAAGCTTATAGACACACTTTCGAATCTGTTCCTGGAACCAACCAGTACTGAGCAATGAGTGTAAAGTTTCTTGCTCAAGGAAACAACGACTTGCCCCTGACGGGGTTTGAACCCATACGGCAAGCGATCATTAGATTACTAGTCCGACGCGTTAACCACTCGGCCATGCCGCCACTTGATGATTAATTAATTATGATTTGTAAATTAAAAAGGTGGCGAGTTTTATAAAGATAATATTAAAGGAATCACGTTTTAATCACTAGGTTACTTTGTTTTACAAAGATGAAATGACTGGTCATTTGCTTTTATTAACTTTTTATGTCAGTTATATTTTTTTAATAAAATTTAAATTGTACTGACCTCTTTGGTCATAATCTAAAATGGAATAGATAGAATAAATAGAAAAATAAATTCTTATTGAATATTAGCGTTTGAAATTTTTTTTGTACAATAGAAAGGCAGTAATTTAATAACATTTTATTTAGGAAAATTGTCTATTTTTAAGATAAGCAAATTGTTCGAGTGTTTGAAATTAATTTCATCAACGGTCGCAGATACATTGGTTTGTGTGCTGTTATTTTGTAAATGCTTACTACTGAACACCAGCGGCATGCTATTTGAAAGACCCTTCAAACTCAAACACTAACCTATACAAAATACAATGTGATGTTAAACCATCCAAAAGATACTATAAACAGCACAAGAAAGTCAAGAATACCATCATTTCAACCTCATATTTCAAAATTTTCTTAGTCTACGGGAGGGGACACCCCTCCCAGGCCCACCCCAATCACATACACCAGTCTTAATATTCCTCTAAATATCTACAAAAAAAGGTATACACAGTCACATATATACGAAAAGTACATTGCCACTCATAGGATAAGCTATAAAACACATCAATTACATTTTTTTGTCACATGAGGCCCTATCTTCAAACTAGTACAATTTTTGCATTGTATTTCTTTTGCTTATATCAAAATCTTCCACCCTGTTCTGTATCCGCCCCTGAATTTTGACTGACTATTCCGTATGTAGACAATAGACAACATAGAGGATTTCCACAACTAAATCTCAGTAAATATCGGCGTATGTAGGTATCTTCAAAAATCCATAAATCGTTTTGCCTGCTTTCGACAGTGTTCGAATATGTTCGAATATGTAATGTTAGTTGATATTGTCTTTTTTGTCACGAGATAAATTTTTTTTATTATGATATCATATCTTGACCCTTTTATAATTTAATGTTAAGAAAAACAAATGTTCAGTTCGTCTTTTTATTGTTCTGTTTCCAAGAAATATTTGAAAGGAAGAGCTTATGTGTTAAATGTGCACACAGATTTTTATTGCATTTATCTTTACTATAACATTCATGACAGTCCAAAGTTTGTCTTATCTCTCGACCGATCAAACCGGCACCACTGGCACTTACTACACATAACTGTTAAATGGATATATGACTTATATACAATAAACTACAAAAGTGGAGGCATGTGTTTATTGATATCTGTATATGGCTTATACTGTTAATGTCGGCGATGGTGGGGAATTGATACAATTTATCTTATTATTATATTGTCAATTAAGAATATCAGTACTTTGAAAAAGAGAAAACAAGAATCCATAAAGAAAGCATAAAAACGGAAAAATTAAATGATCGAGCCTGTTTATAACAAAGATGATATCTTTGCTAAGACGAGAACGGAATTTTGTAATAAATTATGTCACTAATTTTGCTATACACTTGTTTTATATGAACCAAATTTTAGAATTTTGCTAATTTTGTAAAATTGTTTTTCGGGATATCTCTTGCCTACCTGATTGTCTGTACATCCGAGGGTGATACTTTGTCCTGTTGATTTTACTTCTATGTGACAAGACTATAAAATTACAAGTCAGCATGATAAAAAAGCGTTAATATACATGGTCACTTTTATTTAACAATTTTTACATCGACATATTGATTATAGTATACTAAACAAATGTTAGGATAGTTTAACAACATAATGAAACTCCCGATATGGTGAATTCTACAAATATTTTAACGGTAGAGCTTTTTCTATATTTACTAAATATTACTAAATAATAACACAAATTCTACTACTATTTACCGACCTTTTCAGGTAAAACAAATGTAATTGCCTGTCTTACATTTAACAAAAGATGATCCGCTGTTAACACAGCCCTAACATTCCATTTACCAGTTGCCGGTGGCAGTCCTGGCCTCGAGGTTATAAAAATTAATTCTGTTATGTCTGAAATCTCAGGAATTAATTGGTCAATGAATACCTCTTGGTAGGTTGTGCCGTCTACTGGCACGAAACTTGTTCTCATTTATTAGATAACCATAAGAACATGTACCAAAAATGACGCTATCTGAATGACACGGAAACCTATATAAGTTTTTATCAATGACAAATACATTCTTCTTCACTCATGTTTAATAAAATTACAATTAATTGCAATCAAAATACTAAAGTGTTTATATCGTGGCTGGCATAATGTTGTTAAATCCATTCAGTTCCATGTTTAAAATTAAAATTTTACTTTTACGTTGTCAAGACAAGACAATTTATTAGATTTATCTAACATTAAAAGATTTCCACTCAGGTCCGGAAAACCACAAGGACTTTCTTTACATATATCAACTGAGAAAGTTAAAACGTAAAAGTTCCGAAAGGTAAGAAAGTAATCCCCTAAAAATAAACTTGCAAAGTTGCTTTTCATTGTTCTGTCATTTTGCATAATAAAATTAAACGATTAGTCTGAAAAATTCAGAGTAAGCGAATGATCTAAAAATCGCATACAAGTTACAGTCCCAGACTCACACTAAATTGTACAGTTTTCAAGTCATGTATAAAACACTCAAGGGAGATAATGAACACTTCGATAATGTGTATAGTGTTAATTTTGTTAGAACCCATGAGAAAGAATTTTAAAAGGACAAATGTACTAACAGACTACTGTAAAATAACTTTGACCATTAAATGAACGACTATCGTGTAGTAGAATGTATAGTTTGTTTTCATAGTCGATAAAATATATTTTGAATTTAAATTACAAACGTTCCAAATGACACTGGGGTAGGATGCTTGATGACAATTTCTGATTCTTACCTCAGGTTTTGTTGCAAAACACATTTGGTTGCATTTCGCTTCATTTTCTTAACGGAAATTATGTTATCTTTTTCTTGGTTAATAGCTTGTATGAATATTTTGTGGCGTATGCCTCTCATATGTTTTATCATTTCTAATTGTTTCATTATTTATTTGGAAAAATAAGTATTTATCATAACATTTCATTATACGAAAAAAACACTTATATTATAGAGCATGATATTTTTTAAAATATCTTTTATAGACCTGCTGTCATATGCAAGTCAGGGTTAGAGGACGATACGAATCATTTCAAACACAAGGATCTCCGTCATGAAGACATGTACCTCGACCATGACTTTCACTCACAGGACACTATATGTATCATGTAGACGCACGCTCGTACCTAGTACCTTAGATAAGATTTATTTCAGTTGTACGCAATCGCATTAAAAATGTTTAAAACCGCTCATAATATGATGATAAGCATCATTGAAAACGATTATTACATATTATATTAAATAACATGTTACTGACAATTTAAACTTATAGAACTTAGTTTTGTTCCTTAAAGTAAACGGAAGATTGTCCGACTGTATACAACCAATTCAACTATGCAAATGATTTTGCACCACAACCTTTGATCCCATATTGAATATAGAACTTGCTTTCACCTAAGGAAATAAAGTTTCACCGGCAAGACTGTCTGTACTGTTCTACTATTTTACCGGCAACCTATTTATTATATTAAGTGGCTCATTATCAATAGGTAATCTATGACCAAGCTTTAAGTTCCAACCCAATGAATTTATTTTGTCTGGCCTGAGAAAACCGGAAGTTTAATGTTAAAGTGAGATAATCACGCATTTTCTTTACAAGAATTTCAAGTCTTTGTCAAGCTTTTCCTGTTCAATAAGTTTAACCTTGCATTACCCTTTAGAACTACAGAACTTGACATAGAATCACCAGACAGAGACTGATTAAGTATAACATCTAGATATTTGACTTAAGAAATGACCGTATTTCAGTTCACAACTGACATTGACAAATGCGCCGGACTTAAACATTTTTATTTTAACCCCTTCCATACAAGAATAATTGCATATCCGCATGTAGATGGAGTTATTTTAAACCGCAGCCAGCATATAAATTTAAGAGTTACGGTCACCAAATCGATTCTCGAAGTTACTCTTTCTTTTTCCATGAAAGAAAAAAAAGTATCAGATACGCCGAAAATTGTTGCCTGTCAGAAATGTATGACCTACTTTTTGAATGTAAAATACCAGAGGTTAGGCTTCTATTTTCATTAAAAGTAAAGAATGGTAAAATAATAAGAGGAACATATCTTGTAAAGACCCTTTTATTTAAGACCGGACTCAAGTTGTCGCCCTTAGATAACGTCATTGGGGTATACGGTGGACAATGCCGATACGATTAAGTACATTAATAGAGGGATATAAAGGTCTTAATCCTTACTCATGTAAGATCGGCAAATTGAAATTGCTAAGATTTTGTGTAATTGAATAAGATATTTCATGAAAAGGATGGATGGAGATATTACATAAAAAGGATGGTCAAATGAATAAAGATGTTTACCATAATAAGGTTACGATTTGTTTCAATACTAAACCATATGGTTGGGTAACTGATCATGGTTACCATGATCATGGTTACCATGATCATGGTTACCATTTTAGTTTTATTTTTAATAATGAAAATTGATGCACCGTGTTTAAACAGTCAGTTGAATCGTACTAACTTGCAAATACAATATGTAGATTATGTATTTATGTCTTACCAAAGAGATATTTTAAGTTTCAAAAATGTAAGTATTCTATAGTTTCGAAAAAAAAACGGCTGTGTATACGTAATAATTAATTGAAAGATACTGACATTACTGAGATAAAGAAAAACATAAATATAAATCTATGTAATTTTAAAAAAAATGTTAAAAAATAAAATTAACACTGCTATTAGATGTGTACATGACTGTATACTATTTGTGTCGGCAAAAAAGGCACTCTAAAAAATTGTACATCACGCCAATTGAACTGCACTACATATTATATTAAAGCTGCTAAAGTGATATTTTCAACTTGATATTTTTCTTTTAATTCATATTCTGCTTATCAAATATGAAAAGAAAATCACTAAAAAACAAGTTGTTAAACAGTACACATAAATTCGTTATTAACTGAATTACAAGTTTAAGTGTTTTGGACTGTGCCAGTTGGTAGTCATTCTGGATTATCAAATAAGTAAGGCGTGACCAATAAAGTCCCTAGGATGATCCATAATCAAACTCGGATCATAAATATTTTGACAACTAACAAAAGTGATGTAATCTTATGTAATGTTATAACTCTAAAGTATGCACCCTGGTGCCGCTTGTATATACAACATATGCACCCTGTTGATTAATATGTTACGGCCCAGTGGCGCTTATAGACACAAATCTATCTATTTATAAAATAAATTACTGGGAAAGGTCTTTTTTCATAATCATAAGAATAGATTTGTAATATTAAAATTACATTGTATCTTATTATCGTCTGCTGCGAATCTTTCGTTAAAAAGTCATTGCCACGTGGTTTTCGTTCTTTCAGGGATATTTATAAAACTATATCTGAAAGATTTTTTTATATTGCATAATGAAAAAGAGTCAATAAGTCTTGACAGAATGCATTCTGCTATTGTTCTAAAGCTTGAAAAACATTCATTAAAAACACTGACAATCTTACTTTCATGTTTTGTCACAAAAACGCCGGAATTTTCTGAATGACAAAAATCACACAGAACACTAGAAAATGACTTTTTAAATTTATAATGGGTAATTTCACTGTGTATGGGTATTTATAAAATATTTAAATTTGATTTAGTTACTAGCTTACTGTCCTGGCATTAGAGAAAATATAATAGATGTATTCACTCTGAAATCCCGCTGTTTTACCTCGTAGCAAGAATTAATCTTAATCTTTGTTTTTGTATTTTTTTATTTTATTTTCTTGTTATGAAATATGCATTTTACACATGCCGTCTAAACGAGTAGATTTAATGGAATCTTGGAATACCATAATATTTTTTTTCAATCAATGAAATTGAATAATATTGAGGTACTTTAGATGAAAGACAAAATAAACAAACTACCCCATAAACTATTTAATTCTGTAGGTATATTTGAGTAGGTTTGATGAAATAGAGAAAAATATCTATATACTTCATTAACATTGCGGTTTTATCAAAGTTGGTTTCATCATATATTTTCAAACATAAATGAATATTATAATCGGTTCTAGTCATTTCACGTGTTTCTACCTGTTTTAATGTAAAGTTTTATTTTCGTTTTGTATTTTATACTCTTTCATATTAATTTTGTATAATCTTCGTACAAATCCATATTTCTTCCATTGTTCTCTACGCATTTCCCTAACAAGGGCAATGTTTTCAATAACAATTAAATGTTTCACTGTCATTGAAAAAAAACCCCGAAAAAACACACAAAAAAACAGTAAGTCGTCTATAATGCAAGATTTTTGTGCTAAGCCCTTTTATAACGATGTTACCGCTAACAACGTCACGACGATGGGAAATACATGATATCTACTGACTTACTTTCTATAAAAGATGAAAAAAGTGATAAAACAGATAAGTTTATTGGTGAACCAGATATCCAGAGAACGAGTTCATACGCCAAGAATCTGCATATATATTATTACTTGTACAACCATAAAAGCATGAAACAAATACTTTTGAATGTTTGTGTAAAACAGCAACCGTATCTGAACTATCACATGGGAACTCATCTTTATCATATACAAGTAAGGTAGCATATGTTGTCCCATCTATCATGATATCTGCGTAGACTTCTTTTGCGTATGCAGCACAAATTTGTGTACTAAATGAGTACGTTCCGTTGACAGGCGCAGTGAAGATTCCAGTCGATGTACTATAAGCATTTCCTTCATTAACAAGTGTAGAGCCAAATATAATATTATAGTGTGTCCATCGCCAGGATTTATGTTTGTTATATTCTTGGCTTTAAATACTATATTTGGACCTGTAAAACAAAATTTGTTATAGATATGTTTAAGATATAAAAATATTATCTATTGAAGGGTTTGAGTTACTTTGATAATTTTGATTACTGTTGAACTTTATAAAGGGAAAACTGCACCACATGTTTGTTGTATGTTTGGTACACCATATGTGTTCAATATGTAAAATATTTGTGTTTCATGTGTTTTGAAAAACACGTGTTTAAGAACATATGGTTTCCATATGTAAGATTAACATAAACAGGACCATATGAAAAACATGTGCCAACTAACATATGTTAAACTCATGGGTTTCACATGTTTTTCATAAGAATAAGTTTTCATAAGTTAAATGATTGAAGAGATGTTTGGTTCATGCATGTACAACTTGTAAATGTTATAAATTCATGGGGACAAAGTTGCATTCACTATCATGTTGAAACAATACGTTATAAAAAGATGAAAATAAATAAATAAATGATAAATATCTTTTTGGAGGGATAGCTGATTATATTTTAATAAAGGGAAGAACTGTCAGGGGAAGAAACAGTTTATGGAGGACTCGTCAGGGTGATGAACTGGTTTAGGGGACATGGGGGGAATAGTCTGCCATTAATTTTTATTCATGATTTGTTCTCCCTTTGTATATGTTAGTGTTTATTTAATAATCAATAACCCAAAACGAAGTGACCGGTGGATTCTTAGTTGTTGAAATGTTTGCTTAATGAAAACTATCTTTTACTTAAGATTTATCTTTTTTGTAAGTTCAAAAAGCATTTTTTCTTAAACATATTACCGATTTTTTTGTAAATAAAGGAAGATAATTAAAAGTTTATTTTCTATTTATTCTAAGTCAAATTTTTCAGTTAGAAGTGAATGTATATATTTTAATAATTATTTTAATAATGAACACATATTTGCAGTACATATTTTACATATTCTTCGATGTTTGAAAATTGTTATACAAGCATAATTATAGACATATATAAAGTTTCACTTACATGTGGTACACTCACCACTTGGTGCTTCAAAATTAACTCTTTAAGGACATGACTGGTGACATGTCCGGGGTCCGTACTCGACAGCGCAAGCTGCATTTAGTGCCCGAAAGGGCGGATGGACCCTCATTAAGCTTTAACTTCAATCAATCAATCAATGGTACACTTGTGTAATTCTTAAAAACAAACCAAACTCTAGAACATAATTTACCACTTGTAATGAAAAACATGATTCATGTGAATCCTTATGTGAAAAACACAAGTCTATATCATAAATGTATCATACAGTGTCCTTTTCTTGGAGAAACACTGTTTCCTACCATATGAAAACATATGTTATTCATGTGTATCCATATGAAAATCATGTGTCTGCACCATATGTAAACCATTTGTTTCTACCATATATAAAACATGTGTGTCACATACGTTTAACATGTGGTGCATTTTTACCTGTGATATAATATAATCACAAAAGTACATGAATTATTATAAAAGTGATGAAAAGTAAAAAGGCAAGAATAATTTTCATCACAAACATTACAAGTGCATATCATTTTAAAGAAAGATATTATCCATTCATCCATTTCGTTATATGCTTTCGACAAGCTGGCACCTTGTTTTCTCAGTTCAACATTTTCAGAATTGCAAATCACAATCATACTTCACAATTATGATTAAAAACATAAAATAATGGCTACATTGTCAAGTGTTTTGTTACCTAAGTATTGCTTTTCGCGTGGGTTCTAACCTAGTCAGGGGCAAGCCAGTGTTTCCTTAGGCAAGAAATGTTACACACAATGCTCAGTACTGGTTTGAAAGTGTGTCTATAAACTATAAGCTTCGTTCAAAATTAGACTAAAATAAACTATATAATTATATAATTTGTAAAAAAAAACACAAGAGGTTAAATGCTATATAATGTTATCACATACTACAACTGCTTTTTGTGCAGACAACATCTTCTAAGGAATTTCCGTCACAATATTTTCCGTGAGGCGAGGGTGACGGATTTGTGCAGGTACGTGATCTAGACTTTAAACCGTCCCCACACGTCACTGAACAGGTGCTCCATTGTCCCCAGTCAGTCCAACCACCATCTTAAATACCAAAAATCATTAATGTAAAAGTATTCTCTACAATTTTGTTATTAAATCTCTTAAATGTTGTGAAAATTAATTAAATAAATGGTATGGTATGGATAGCAGCCAGTCCGAAAGATAATCAAGAAATACCAGGAATTGAGACATACATTTTATATTATATATTAAATGTTCATGTAATAAATACTGTATTAATGCGTAATATATTCTATTAACAAGGAAACAAGAATTACAACAATAAAACACATTATGTTCACCACATGCATATTTAAGTAAGCATAATAATATGCATGAGGCGCAGTCTGAACGTTGTCACAATGTGATAAGCGTTACTAAAACATACTTAAATGTTGTAAAAGTATTTGCCCCTGTACGCAATATCGATCTATGCTTTATAACTCATTGGGTAAATAATACTTATAAGGTAAAGAATTTTTTTAAATATTGTAATAAAATTTATGCAACAGCAAAATAACGCGACAGCACTTTTGTTTTTTACTGTCAAGCGCCACAGCGACATAGAACATTCACGTCATGCGCAATTTCCTATCTCGCCAACGAAATGCATTATCTTTAAGATTAGCCCAAACAGTCTGAAAACAACCTTTTACTCGACTACCAAGATACTTGTGTCTGGTTTCTTTTGTCATATTAGATATCTCTGTTGTATATAAATATTCACAAATGTTTATGAAAGTTTCGTTTTCCGGCCGCTTTAATGACGACGTGTTTGAAAAAATAAACGTCGCAACTAGAAAACTTCAAACTTGATTGCACAATAATCCAACGTACAATTTTAAAGAAGGAAACATGACATTTGTCAGAATTATAAACCAATTCCGGGTAATTCTGCATCATCCCGCTGTACAAAATACTATACCAAGAAAAGCAAAATAAACAGGTTATTCGTGTATATGGCAAATGAGTATATTTTTAAAAATTGTTACAAGATATTTAAATAAAAAATGAGAGAAAAAAGAGAGAGCGATCAGTGATCAAATGTGTCACCTCATGATAGCCACTACTGTTTAGCAGGAGACACAAAACACATTAACAAGCCAAAACGCTTTTTGCGACGGACGAGCCTTCAGGCGCGTGTCATCTACACATGGAATGTCGACGTCTACAATCAAAAAAAGTGTCCCGAACCGAATAACATCTAACAAATAGTGCACGATTTAATCATATAAAGCACACCCATTATGTTGAAATATGCGAAAAGCGTTAATGTTCCAGTTTGATTGCAAAGACCGTTAGTTATCTGACTTATAAGATAAACAAATGAATATCATATAAACGAGAAAATATCGTAATAATTGCACTACTTTGACCTAATTTGTCCAATCCGATTTACAGCCAAACACGGTTTTATGAATGAAAGTTGTAAGCAGAAAAAGTAGAACGACAAGTTATATAGAAAATAGTAATAGTACATTTTAATATAGAGCAAAAATGTTAGTAAAAACATTAGGAAGTAACTTTTATGTGAAAAATATGTGCCAAATTATCTTTTTGTGGTGACTGAAATAATTTTCTAAATAACGATTCCTCCGCTTAGAAGCACTATTTTTATCAATGAGATTGTACAGACACGTCACTCCTCAGACATTTTAACTTTGGTCATTTTGCAGACACTTAACCCTCAGACAGTTCACATATTTTTTTAAGACATTTGATTTAGACACATTTCAAATTTTATTTCTTTCTGTTGAACGATAATTAATGTTAGAAACGATAAAAATATTCAACATTGAAGTATCTTGAGGGGTGGGTGTGGCTTGAATTTTCCCGGGGATTAAGTGTATTTTTCCCATTAATCTGACCTAGTTTATCGACGATCAAATCAAGTATCAAACTGCAGTATTTTCATGTAAAATGTGTTTAGATATTAATTTCCTTCATTTGCAAAAAAATGTGTAAATTATACGATTACGCATGTGTTAAAGCAACTAAAAGTAGTGTATACTGTGTAGAAGTACGTACTACGGTAAATGTTACGACCGAGTTATATCCCTTTACTTTCGGAAAACCTAGCTTAACACCGGATTCCGGCACGTTACGGATTTAGCTGCGGGAAATTTACACTAATCGATGAACATAACACAATAACATGATATTTCTATTTTTCTATCATTACTTTACCGTTTAAGGTGAAAATAATTGATGTGTTTGAAAATTATCAATATTTCTTTTATATCTATAATAATTGCAAATTTAAAAAAAAATATATTGTTTATAATGAAAATCAATAAAATTAATACAGTCGTAGTAGTGGCATCTTCCATTATAAATAGAGTTATTTCTAGGTTTTCGAATAAGTGAACATATTAATGTAAACAGTAGAGATTGTCAAAAAATATCAATTCTGAAAAAAACAACATGAAAGATTAAAAAGAAACTTTATTAGCGAAAGAAAAGAATCGACACAAGTATGTTTTCTCCAGCATCATGAAGTAAGTCACACTGGACTTCGATCTATTTTCTAGACAAATACTATACGTACAAGTTTGTAACCAAGCTATTAAAGTACGGTTCAGCTATAAGACTAAGATATGTCTCAAATTGAACATTTTTATGGAAATTAAAATTGAATTGACCATTTATTTATGATATTTTTCCATATTAAATAGACTTATGTGTTAATATCAGGCACGGATACACGACAGGGAGCTGAAGGGCTGAAGCCCCCTTCCCAGACACCCTGGCCTGAATTGTTTTCCTATAAAAAAACAAAGCGCATTGAGAGTAAAATATAATATAAATCTAAGTCCTTTTTTATTTGAACCTGGGCCCCAGCTGAGTTTCCTGTCCATTTTACAATTAGTCGAGACTAAATACTGTGGCTTAGACTAAATACATACATGCAGACACTAATTAGTTCTCTTGGTCAGTGTAGATGCAGTTTAAGCGCATTGATAATACTGAATGAAAGAGCAATTTATTCGTAGTACATCTAAATACATTTACTTTTGAACTATTAATAGCCCCCTATTGAATAGTGAATGTGATGATGATTTTTTCGTATATATATTCAGCAATTTTTTTCAATACTGAAGCGCAAGTGATGTAAGTTTAAATTATTTTAATCTAAAAGCACGCTTTTTATGGTTAATGTAAAGCATTTTCTTACCCTCTGGAAAATTAATTAAAAATCACAGCTTTCCCATACATGTAGATTAAGTTTTTTCTTCCAGTTTTGCAGAAAAATCATTTTTGTGAAAAATATGTAGACACTTCAGTTTCAAAATGTGCAAAGAAAATGCACCAAAAGCCATAAGGTAACATATGAATTTCATTTTTTTCCTGGGAGAACCGCCAGACCCTCCCTCATCAAAAGGGGGAGTTCGGTCATTTCAAACATATCCCCCCTACGAATTCTTATGGCCCGGCCCTGTAATAACAGAGTAAGTCTATTCGAATGATATTCTCTCCCTTCACAAATCTTGACCTATTTCATACTCTGCATAATATGTGTGCATTATTATAAATGCCCTGACTCTTGAGGAAAATATTACTTCCTTATTAATTTTCTGTGTAACCAAACACGGAACAAATAAAATTTAAAATATTGCAAGGTCTCATGTCACTTGTATATGAAAAAAAGACTGGAGCCTGATGGAAACATTAGCTCAACTGTCCTTCTATCCTTCTCATCTTGGTGTCATGAGTGTCCGCGTTGGCAGACCACTTTGGTTACAGGTTTGGGGGCAACGCGTAGAACTTCATAAAGAATTAAACTATTTACTTGTAACTTAACAAATATTTTTGAGATCGTCCGTAATAAGATTTGCAAAGCCAATAACTCTAGCATAGTTTTTTGACAGTTCAAATTTGACAATTTTGAAACAAATTAATCTTGCTTATTTCTTTCTATTTTATTGTAAATGTTTTCAGGATTATAAATGGAGGTTACTCTCTAAACCCCATAAATCTAACAATCATTTTAACAGAGTAATAGTCTTTTTTTTAGGTTAGAAAAATTTTAATTTCAAACTTTGCAAGAAAAACAATCTTTAGGACAACAAATATATACTTGTGGTATTCATTTAAACATAACATATAACATCAGTTTTCAAAAGAAAACAGAAGATATTCATATGAAACCTTTATATGTCTTTAGTCATAATTGGAAGTTTCTATCCAAGCTCCATAAATCTCAGGCATAGAATTTTGCTGCCCTTTGTAAATAATAAAAAAAACCTTGGTCCTTTTTTGACATCATTTAAGCAATTCCCTTTTCATGTCCGTCGCACCCAGTGCTTTCAGCACTTTGATTTTGTATTTTATGATCAAATCAGTAAAATACAAAGCGGACATTCAATCTCTGACACAGAATTTCACGACAGACCTAACAACAAGTAGTTCTCAAAACAGCTTAAAACTAGCGATTTGAAAGAAAGAAAGATTTTTATTTTGTTACAAGTGTCCAACAAATTACAACGCATTCAAAGTTTAAAAGTAGCGTTGGCCTATAGAATTGTCAATAAATACACAATCAATTACCGAATACTACAAAAATAAATCTTGACTGCCGAGTAGCGGAATATATAGATTCTACGGACTGTTTGGGCGAGAAGATTTTCGCTAAATTTTCTACTTCAATTTTAAACAACAGGTTTATCCTGAACAAAATACCTCGAAATTAATAAGGATTACAAACCCGAAATGCAATGGAAGTTCTAAATTTAGAATGACTTGATTTCATTCAGAACTTGTTTGTATATCTATATCTTCATCGTGGTTCAGGGGTAACGCGCTCGTTTCGTGTGTGAGAGGTCTGAAGTTCAAATCCCTGTCGAGGTAATTTTTTAAAATTCTTTTTTAAGTTTCTTTGTTAAAGAAGTAGCCATGATATGCAAGGATAAAGTGTGGCTCTCATAAAAAATGAACATAAATGATTTTTTGAATGTTTCAAACTCTAGTGCCTTGCAAGATGAATTATAGTACATAAAATAAACTAATACAGGAAAATACATACAGATAAACAGTACGATTTAGATTA